TTTTTTTTAACAATAAAGGTATTCCCCGATCCATTTGTTGTTAACCCATCTAAGTTTCTCCTCAAATAATTTTAAGAACGTATTTCTCACATTGATTTGGCGTAATAAAAGAATTTAAACATTGATTGCAAAATTTGAATTTGTAAAACTAAGTAAAAGAAGAAATCGTGTGTGGATAGATGATGAGATATTTTGTAAATTTTTTTTTTTTTCATTGTGAATTTAGTTCTTTTTAAAAGATAAATAAATAACAATAAAATAAAATCATGTAGAGATATATAGGATATTTTATGCCAACTTGTAGGGTTTTTTATACTTGTTTTAGCCATAACCATTAGGTATTTTTGCTAGTAGTATCATGTATAAGTTTTGTGCATGTTTTCATTTTATTTATAATAACTATTATTATAGATGTTTGGATATATTAACCCCAATTGCTATAAAAATGTTATATGCTGGTTAAAATGGTCTAAGTTAATCTTTTTTTTTTTATAAGAATCAATACGATCTTTATAAGATTATTTCTATAAATGAAAGTTAATGGGATCTAGATAGAACATCTTCTTATTAATAGGATCTCAAGTGCTTGAATCAATCAAAATTTTAATTTTATCTGAACTATTTATTTTGAAATGATATCTATATTGTTCATAAATATTTATTTTTTATATATAATTTAATTCATAACAAATTTCACATTAAACCCATAAATACTTATATTTTTAAGTTGTGTCAAGATCATTAGAATTTTATCTTAGAGTGAAATTGTTGTCGTCATATGCATCTTAATTAATTCTTTAAAATATTGAGGTCAGCAATTAAATAAGTTTCAAGTGGATTTGAAATTTATAATACTTAAATTAATAATTTTTAATAAATAAACCTAAAATCTAATCTTATACCTGTCAAGATTTATCAAGATCCTTCTTGGAAGCCGAGTGATTGCAATATAAATCGTATTCCTCGTGAAGGTAATTAATTAATGGATAAGATTGGATATAGTCAAATTGGTGTATAGAAAGCTATGCGAGCTATTTCTCATGGTTAATTTCTTAAGGAACCGTCCGCACCGTCCAACATGCCAAGCTACAGAGATTATAAGATATGGAAGAATATGGGCAGGGGTTGAATTAAGTGAACGACTCTAATCTATATATATGTGATTTAATAAAGAAGGCTCGGACGAATCTAATTCTTTTTGAAAAATCTGATAAGGCACTGACAGGCCGTGAACAGCTAACCCCTTGATGTTCCAAGAGGATGGTTCCTTGCAGCCATGTGTCTGAGAAGGGATATTGTTTGTTGCTTCATAAACCGACCAAAACATGTCGTCACCCTCCACAACGACTTTAATAATTCGCTAACTTGAAAAAAAAAAGAAAAAAGAAAAGAAAAGAAAAGGTTGTAGCGGCTGGAGCTTAGAGGAGGAACACGAGAGTCGAATTGCTGTAGCTTTCGTAAAGGGACATCTTCGCATATTCTTATATATATATTTTTAATTTCTAGTTGTTCGTATTCTTTTTTTTCTTTTTTCTATCCACTTGAAGATTTTTGCCCCTTCAAATTACACTTTCTTGGCTTTGCTTACAAGTCATTTCACTTTGTTTTTTTTAATTATTATTTTTATGTGAGGTAAAGGTAATTGAATTTTTTAACATGTATAAAATATAATTTAAATAAAAAAATAATTGTTACATGCAATGTATTTGCCAATAAATGAGAGTCACCTATGTCTTTTAGGTGGTATATCGTCCAACCTTTCAACACTGCCTTCTAAGAAGGCATTAGATGTATCTTACTGTTCCCATTATTATAGTGCATAGCGTGTATCTAGATGAGAGGCAATTGAGTTCCATCTTATTTACAATATATTTGATTTTGAATTCTTTATTAAATTTATTTTTTTATTTTTTATTTGATTTTTATATTAAGTTTGATTTTCATTATGTTGGTTTGTTATTTTTTTATCTTTTTTTTAATTGAATAATTTTTTTAATTTTATCCCTCACATTTTAATTTTATTTTTTTGTCAAGTTTAGTCCTTATTCTTTTCAATTCTATTTTTTTCTTTTTGATCCTTTTTTATGTTGAATTTATTTTTTTTATTTTATCTCTAATTATTTTAGATGGTTGGGAATTATTTTGTTTTTACAATTCTTTGGCAATACGTCATTGTTGATTTTTTTTTCTTTTTATTTGTTATTGATATTTTTTTCCTAATAATATTATTAAATTAGTTGAGTTTATTAAACTCAATTGAGTTAATAACCATAATCTTTTTTTCTAATAACACTTGCATTGTCTTGGGTTTTTTTTTCCAACCACCTATCTAATATGTCACTTCATTAACTAAGATTTTATTTTCTAGTTCAGGAATAAAATATATTTTTGACCAACTGAGAGGAAATTATTGGTTTCTCTCCTCTTTATCAAAAAAATTCCACATGTGACTTTATAGAGAAGCTTGAAGCCAATTGTAGTGGGTGTAAAGCACAAGAAAATGGGTTCAAGAATATGAAGTTGACGCAATATCTTGGAAATAATTTTTTGAATGAGAAATGAGGAAGGAATTGGGATGGAAAGTCAATATTTGGAACCACAATATTGCGTATAGGAACGGACCACATGCGGCTCAATTGTCAACCGAAGGATCTATAGCAAGGAGCCCAGTTGGGCTTATGAAAAAATGACAGCGTGCTGTGCTGTGCTGTGGAATAGAAACAAAGGTCGTCATGGCATTGAATATTGCTGAAGCAGCTCCGAGCTTCTTTAGCAAAAGCTGAATAAAGGCCACACCTTAAACGCTCATCTGATGATGGCCAAATTTTGCAGCTATTGCCGTTTAAAGAACTTTTTGTCCTCTTGAGTTTATCCTATGAAAGCACCCACTCAGTCTTTCTGAAACATAAGACGCGTCCTACGGCTTTATTCAATTTTGCTCCGATTGTATTGATTTGCTGCAAGTCTTGTTGAAATCATTTTAAACTAATCACCGCGTATAGCAAACCCATTCACCACTCGTTTTCCTTCATATAGAGCGTTGAAGGGATGTTATCTGTGTCTCTTCCAGGCTGGCTGAATTTTTGGACCAAATAGCTGTTGTTAGGCTGGTAGCACATAATTTATTGTCGGCTTTTAGGTCTCATATTCCAATTTCCAGCCCGATGAAGGTTTAAAACTCTCCTATCCTGCTTCGAGCTACAAACTCAATCGACCATCTATATCAGAGGGGCCAAAGGAAAAGGTCCGGCTAGTTGCGTAAAATTTTGAAGAAAGCTTTGCCGAAAGATTTGCCGAAGTTGACATAACTCTGGCTGCCAGGAAGAACATGGCAGGTTCATCACGACAAAACAAGGACGAATGGTTAAACACAAATTGACCACAAGAGAAGCCAAAAATTAAAGGGAAGCATCCCCTACCACTATCTGGGCAAAAATCTCATCTCACGTCACCCAAAGCTGCAGTCTACGGTTCTCCACTGTTATTTACTTGAAGACCCTTTACTTATCATCCAGTCATACCATATAAACCACCGTGATCCCCCGAAAGATTAAAAGAAATGAGCATTAGCACTAGTTCCATCAATTAAACAATGTTCACCCAAGCAAAAGAACAATGGATCATAGACGGGGAATTAGTTTCTTATTTTAATTTTAGTATCATTTTCCCTTCAGAAAATTATACTTGTCAATAATCATACATTTTCAACAAAACACGGCAGCATTTCTTAAAATTATGCCGGATAACATAAATTCAGAGAAAGAACGAAAGCTGTTCAAAGTGCTAAATTAGTGTGTATAACAAATTGTGATGTACTGTAAACATTGTGATCTAATTTAAAATTTTGAAGTCAAGAGTTGGATGTCAATAGCAAGAAAAGGAAAAACAAATAGAAGAGCAATATCATAATTCTTTCCAGCGGAAAATACCAGACCAGATAGAAGGCATATGACTCAACCTACAATTATAAGATCAATTTCTTCACAAATGAAGCTCTAAAGGGGCAGTATATGAAGTTAACTAGAATCAAACAATTGCAACTCTACTTTGTTCATTGATATAATGCAATGCTTTGTTTCTTCGTTCCTGTTAATAGCTTCAACAGTAAACCCTTTCCTCAAGATTCTTTAACTGAGAATTGTATCAAATGCACGCTTTGCTGCTTTCTTGATAGTGGAGTGAAAATTTACTCATCCATAAAACTAGAATTGAAAGAATTATATACCTCGCTTTTATCACCAGCATTCTCACTTAATAATCAACTCAATTCTATTTAATAGAAGCAACAGTCTATAGTATTACTTATCAACAAAAACAACAAACCATCATAAAAAGGCCAATCCGCTTCATCCAGAACATAAGCAGGATACATTTCCCGTCTCACTACAAGCATCTGTCTCGTGTAACACCCATTTCAGGCCACTGGATAAAACAATGTCTTATCATTTTTATAAAATTTTAGCAATTACCTTCCCAAAATCCAACGGACAAGAAACACCTGCACACACAGGAATTTGCATTCCGTGACCAGTAAGATGAATTTGTTCTAGTTCTCGAAATTCAGTACTCTTAACAATGGCTATCCATTCTAATAATCAGATTAACCAGCTGCTGTCACTCTGAAAAACCAACAAGAAAACAAGCATAAAAGAAGTTAAAAAAACTAACTGAAACTCGAATGGCATTGTCTAAAAGGCATAAAATTTATAGCAAAACAAAGTTATTCTAGCAACCAATTCATCCCATAACGTTTCATTCCATCCATTAAATGGAAGATTTAAAAACCCTAGCAAACAAATGCTTAGACTAAAAAACCAGTCAAAATTAACAAAACCAACCTACTTCTTGGACGATTTCTTCTTGTCATTGGAAACCACAGCCTTCCGTGGCTTAGGGTGCTTCTCAGCTTCGCTTGGGTCCAACCACTTGAGAGGATGGCGGTTGAAGAAGAGCCAATTAGGGACAGTAACCAGTGCGGTGAAAACCACTCCACCGGCGTAAATTAGCATCATCATTCGAAACGATCCTATTATATAACCTGTAGCTAAAGCAGCCGCCGCGAAAACTACCAGAAGTATCTGCATCCATAGCTCCGCTTGTTTCTGTCCTTGCCAATCCATCTAACCACCAAAAATTACAACGACCACCCAAACATAATAATTCAATTTAATTAACACCCCAAAACCCTAGATCATAATTAAGGAATTAACGAAAGGATTGAAGTAATAATTCTAAACGCAGATCACATGGTAAAGGAGAGAGAGAGAGGAAGAATCTTACCGAGAAAGCTAGAGAGATGATTTGATCTGCAAAATTGAGATATACTGACAGAAGACTAACTATGTTATCAAAACCGTGCGATCAGACTCATGGACGCTATGATTAACGGTGGAGACTAGGATACACACCTTTTAGTTTTTTTTTTTTTTAAGTAACAGTTGGTGTGAGGCCAGCTTATATCTAATTTCATTAATTTTTTTGAGGTTTTGAAATTAATAATTAGATAATTTTATAATAATTTTATAATTTATAATATTCAAATTAGTAATTTTTTAAAAATAAATTAAAAAATTAAACAGCTCAAATTAGTGTTGTAAAATCCCTTTTAATTTTTCTTGTTATTATTATGATTTTTTATATATAAATAAATTAATAAAAAATTATGTTGTATTATATTTTTTAAATAAGTAAATAAAAAATTATGTTGTATTATATTTTTATTTTTATGATGAAAATAAATTATTACTGAAAAATTAATTTTTATATTTATCATAAATAAGGGTAAATAAATTCAATTGTAAAGAATAAATATAAAATTAAACATTGTTAAAATTAAGTTTTTCACCGGTTCTTATTAAATTACTAATTAATCTATATTTTTAAATGAATTATGTTGATTTTTATTTTTTTTAATATTTTAAAACCCCACTAGTTCTAGCTTTTTAACGGCTAGATTTTAAAACTATAAAGCATATTTAAAAAACAAATCATCGACATCTTATATTCAATATTTTAATTTTTAAATCACATTTATATTTATAATATTTACCATATGTAGGTTATCTATTAGTGTAACACTACACAGACAATATTTTTTAAATGGAACTTTCAGTATAATAGAGATTTACCCCTAGGGGAGCCCTTCCAGAAATTCTAGAAGGCCTAGGCCAAGCCCAGGCCCGTGTAGGGTTTGCAAATAGTTTTGAGCCGGCAATAGAGGCTCCTAAGTTAGCACCTTACTAGCCGCGTCATTGCACAGAGCCCAGAGATAAAACTTTTGTAGCCCATGCGACATTTTGTAGTCCATGTCGCCTCGCACAACGCTTTCTATTTGATGGAGGACATCTTGTAGAGAGGTTCATCGTTCTATGCAAATTCTATACTTTTTTATTACATTTGTTATGTAAAAAATATTTTTCATATGTTTTATAAAAAAGAATTATAATTAATATTCAAAATTAATTTATTTATTAGAAAATATTATAATTTCATGAAGTTATATAAAATATTTTATAAATAATAATTCATTTTAAATATAATTTAACTATTCTAATCATTAATTATGTCTCATCATACCATTATTACTATTATCTCACGATCACCAATTACTATAATCTCATAACCATCTTTTCTTTCATCGTAATCACAACCACCTCATTATCTTCACTACTTGCATCACTATTTTATTTTTTATTTTATTTTGCTATTTTTTATCATTTTTTTCTATAACTATTTTCTTTTTTTATTATTCATCATCATTTTTTTCATTACCATTATTCTTGAAAAATATTTTATAGAATTTTTCTTTTGTGATTTTTTATGCAAAATAAATAGATTTAATGGCAAATGACTTGTTCTCATTTTAGCCTTTTTCCCAAATGTTTCGGGTTCTTCTTAGACGATGCATTGCTAAAATGTGAAATCCCCCATCCCTTGGTTCTTGCAGCTTAGGGGTGTATTTCGAAATGATGCGAGGTTGAATTTTCTGGGAGATACAATTTATTTAATCACAAGACATATCTCACTGAAAACTATAAAATATAATTTTTTTTTATACCAACTCATAAAAACAAAATTCAAACCCACCTCACCTCCCTTCTAAACCAAAGCTTTTAAATATAGCTTACTGGTTGATCCGACTTTATTAATTTTAATTAGATTAATGAATTTTAACTAATAACCCTAATTGGGTTATTGATCTGATCAGATCGGATCTTGTCGGATCACTATATCAATCTACTATATTAACTGATTTTTTAATTTTTTTTATTGTTTTATAAATTCTGTTCAATTTATATTTTGAATTGACCAATTTAATCAAACCAAAATTTAAAATTATGTTCTAAAAGCACACAAGTAAAGCAAATTATCTAGGGATGTCAAATTATTTAGGGATGTTTGTAATTGAGACTGGGAAATATTTTTGAAAAAAATTGTTTTAAATTAATTTTTTTTTAATTTTAAAATTGTTTTGATATACTAAAATGAAAAATAAATTTTAAAAAATTAAAAATATTATTTTAATATATTTTAAATTTAAAAACACTTAAAAAACACATTAACACAGTAACAAATAAGCTCTCACCATCATCTCAGTGTTCTTGGTACAGCTGTTGGCTTCACTAACTTCTAGTAGCTCGCCATTAATGATGTCCGTCCTTTGCCTCCCATCGACTGTTACAAGCAATAGCCTGCTCGTGATTTTGGTTCCACCCTCTAGCACCATTCAAATAACTGTAATGAACCCAGTTTCCACTTGCTGGGATTTCATTTGTCAAGCAGTCATCAGCAACAGAAGAATTGCCATTTCTATTGGATGAGTTTTTCTTGCTTAGTTCTTAGTTAAGATTAATGCTGCTTTCTTGATTCTGAAACCAGCCTCAACGGGTAATGTGAGAAGGCACAAAGGGAAAAAAAAGAGAGAGAGAGAGAGAGAGAGACTATCCAGTTGCCTGGATCGGAGATTCTTGTTTCTTTTACGGGGGGAGTTAGAAAGGTTTCATTACATAATGTTGGTTTAGTCACAAGCAACCATCTTTTTTTTTCATCTGCAGAACAATTACAGAAATATTAGCACCAGAGGTGAAGCTGCTGCTTCATCCAGCCAAAAAGAAACAGAGAGTAGCACAATGGAACCATGCATAGCACCTCTTCCCAATTTTTTGGCAGGACTGATACGCATTTTCCTTTAGGAATGACGAAACCCTTATAACAAGTGATTGAGATTTGAGAACAACCAGCAACCATGGATTCCCAGGTTTCAAATGGGTCACAGGATTCACATAAACTGCAGCCAATCCGGACATTTATTTTTGGTATCAAAATACAGGACATGAAAATCCTTCAGCAACACACGTCTTAATTACATATCAATAACAGGAAAGACATCCACTATCTTCACACACATGCAACAAACATCTTACATCGCATGCTTATTACAGCAGAAAGCCCATATAAAACCACATACAAGGTACGCTTGCCTGCTTAAGCTCTGCGGCACACATCTGTATCGCACATCCATCTTTCCTTTCCCTTTTCACTTCCAGTATCTTCATCTTCCTTCAAAGCACACTTAGGGTGAAGATCAAAGTCACATTGTTTGCAATAGAAAGACCACCTATTTCCTGTTTCCTCCCAGCCATCGCAAATATATGTTTT